ATGTTATGTGTGTGCTCGAAATTTCGTTTCCTTTGCAGAGGATGGGAAAATTGATTACGAAGCCACGAACGACGCGAAGTGGAAGACCCACTTAAGTCAGTTGGTGCCGTGTCAGTTCTGCTCCAGGACCTTCAATCCGGATAGGGTGGAAGTGCACGAGAGGAGCTGCAAGGGCTAATGTCTATATTCCTTCAAGTGTGATTTAATGTTTTTTGAATAAATATATGTGAAGCTTGACGGTGTTTGTGTGCTGGGGGAAGGTCAACTGAAAAGGGGAGAGTGATTTATTGGGTGGCAAATTCCGGAAGTGATACATTACATGACTAACGGAAAGGCAGCGCGGGGACCCACGTTGTGCTGTTGTTGACAGTAATTGTTTCTTTTGGCTATTTTAACGATTTTCAGTCTTTTCTTGAACGAACAAAATTTTTAAAAAATTCTTTTGAAATTTAAATTATTTTTTTTAAGGCGTTTGATGATTTATATTTTTGTCACTCACTTTACTAATTAAAAAAAAAATAATGCTTTCCGAAAAATCGCAATATCGAAAAATTCAAACCTTGAAATATCGATAGAACGAGAATTTGAAAAATCAAAATTTTAAAATCGAAAAACTGAATAACCGAAAAATCGAAATATGAAAAATCGAGCAATCAAAACATTAAAAAATCGAAAATATAAAATATCGAAAAAATGAAAAATCCAGATATTGAAAATTTCTCAAAACTGAATTGTTGAAAAATTGAAAAGTCGAAAACTTGAAAAATCAAGAAATCCAAAAGTCGAAAAGTCGAAAAATTTTAAAAATCAAAAACCGCTATGTCAAGAAATCGGTCAAAAAATCGTAAACTCGAAAAATAAAAAAATCAAAAAATTAAAAAACTGAAAAATTGAAAAGCCGAAAGTCGAAAAATGGAAAACCCAAGACATTTATCATCGAAAAATTTAAAATATTGAAATACCGAAAAATCGAAATATCAAGAGATCGAGAATCGAAAAATTGAGAAATTGAAGTAGCCCAAAATCGAAAAGTTTAAAATTAAAAAATCGAAAACTTGAGAAATCGAAACATCGAAGTCTCGATAAAACGAGAAATTGTAAAATTTTAAAAATTGAAAAATTGAAAATTCGAAAAATTACATTTTAAACATCGAAAAATTAAAAAAACCGAAGTCTTACAACCGAGAACTTGAAAATCAAAAGATCGAGAAATCGGAACATCGAATAACTGAAAAAATGAAAAATCGACCATTTAAAAATCTAAAAAGTAAAATCAAAAATTTAAAAAATTGAGAAATTAAAAATTTCGAAATCCGAAAAACCGAAAAATTGAAAAGCTGAAAAATCGAGAAATCGAAACATCGAAAAATTTCAAATACCGAAACAGAGAAATCGAAACATCAAGAGATCGAGAAATGGAAAAATCGAGAAATCAAAAAATCGAAAAATTGGGAAATCGAAATAGCTCCAAATTGAAAAGCTAAAATTTGAAAAACTGAAAAATTTTAGATTAAAAAAATCCAAAACTTGGGAGATCGAAAAATTGAAACATCGAAATCTCGATAAATCGAAAAGTAGAAAAATTTTAAAAATTGAAAAATCACATTTAAAAATCGAAAAATTGAAAAAACCAAAAATCTAAAACCAAGAAGTTGGAAAATGAAAAAATCGAGAAATCGAAACCCCAAAAAAATCAAAAAATTTAAAAAATGAAAAATCTACAATTTAAAAATCGAAAAATAAAGGATCGAAATATTGAAAAATCCCAAACCTGAAATATCGAAAAAGTGATAAATCGTTAAAAAATCCAAAAACTGAAACATCGAAAAATTGAGAAATCGAAAAATTGAAAAATTAAAAACCTTAATATTCGAAAAACTGTAAAATTGAAAAGCCGAAACGTCGAAAAAACGAAAATCCGAGAAAGCGAGCCATCGAAAGATCGAGAAATCGATAAATTGAAAATTCGAAAAGTCGAAGATTTAAAAAACCGGAACATCGAAAAGGCTAAAAATCCAAAAATCTAAAACGTTGAAATTCGAAAAACTGAAAAATTGAAACATTGAATTGAAAAACGGAAAAACGTGAAGTCGAGAAATCGAATCATTGAAAAGTCGAAAAATCAAAAATTTAGAAACGTCAAAAATTGAAGAATCGAAATATTCAGAAATCGAACAATTCTTGAAAAATTGAAACGTCGGAATATCGATAAATCCAGTAATTGAGAAATCAAAAAAATTAAAAAATAAAAAATTTAAAAATTTCCAAAAATGGATTGTTAAAAAATCGAGAAAACGAAAAGTCAAAAAATCAAAAAATGTGTTAATCGAGAAATTGAGAAATCCAAAAATCAAAATTTTATAATCGTCAAAAATTGAAGAATCGAAATATCGAAAAATCGAACAATTCTTGAAAAATTGAAACGTCGGAATATCGATAAATCCAGTAATTGAGAAATCAAAAAAAATTTTAAAATTCCCAAAATTAGATTGTTAAAAAATCGAGAAATCGAAAAGTCGAAAAATCAAAAAATTTGTTAATCGAAAAATTGAGAAATCGAAAAATCAAAATTTTAGAAACGTCAAAAATTGAAGAATCGAAATATCGAAAAATCGAACAATTCTTGAAAAATTGAAACGTCGGAATGTCAATAAACCCTGTAATTGAGAAATAAAAAAAAAATAAAAATAAAAAATTTAAAAATTCCCAAAATTGGATTGTTAAAAAATCGAGAAATCGAAAAATCAATAAATTTGTTAATCGAGAAATTGAGAAATCGAAAAATCAAAAATTTAGAAACGTCAGAAATTGAAGAATCGAGATATCGAAAAATCGAACAATTCTTGAAAAATTGAAACGTCGGAATATCGATAAATCCAGTAATTGAGAAATCAAAAAATTTTAAAAATCAAAAATTTAAAAATTCCCAAAATTGAATTGTTGAAAAATGGAGAAACTGAAAACTTGAAAAATCGATAAATCTAAAAATCGACAATCAAAAAAATTTAAAAATCGAAAAACTGAGATGTCAAAAAATTGAATAAAAAAAAACGAAAATTGTAAAACCAAAAAAACCGAAAAATTAAAAAAAATTAAAACTTCGAAAAAATAAAAAATAGAAAAATTGGAAAAACGAAAAGCCGAAGAAAAGTCGAAAAATCGAAAAAAGGACAAATCGAAAACTAAAAAAATACACACAAAATATATATATATAATAAATCAAAGAATCGAAAAACTGAAAAATTGAGAAATTAAAAAAATCCGAAACTGAAAGGACGAAAAATTGGGAAATCGAAAAAGTGAAAATTTGAAAACTGAAGTATCGAGAAATCGAAAAATTGATTAATTGAAATAGCCCAAAACTGAAAAGTCGAAAAGTTAAAAACTGAAAAATTTAAAAATTGACAATTAAAAAAACCCAAAATTTGAAAAATAAGAAAATCGAGAATTGGATCAATCGAAACATTGAAATTTTGATAAATCGAGAAATCGAATAATTGAAAAATAAAAAATTTTAAAAATCGAAAAATTTAAAAAACGGAAAATTGAAGATCGAAAAACTGAAAAATCGAGAAATTGAAAAATCCCAAATCTGAAATGATGAAAAACTGAAAGTTCGAAGAATCAAAAAGCCGAAAAGTCGACAAACCAAAACACTGAGAAATCGAAAAATAGACATCGAAAAAAGTTAAAACTGAAAAATTAAACAATTAAAATAACAAATCGAAAACTTGAAAAATCAAAAAACCGAAAAATTAAGCAATTAAAACATCGAAATCTCAATAAATCCAGAAATTGAAAAATTGAAAAACTGAACAAATTTAAAAATCGAATAATTGAAAAATCGAAAAAAATCGAGAAATCGAAAAGTCGCAAAATCGAAAAAATGAAGAAGCAAAATATTAAAAAATTCCAAAACTGGAGAAAATTGAAAAGTCTAAAAAATTTAAGAAAAACTGAACAAAAGAAAAATTGAAGAAACACAAAACTGAAACATAAAAATTGTGAAATCGTGAAATTGAAAAGTTAAAAAACGAAAAATCGAGAAATCGAAAAATCGAAAAATTGAAGAATCAAAAACATTGAAAAATTCCAAAAGTGAGGAAAATCGAAAAATCTCAAACAAATATAAGAAAAACTAAAAAAACCCAAAATTTCAAAAATCAAAAACCTGAAGAAACCAGAAGCAGGAAAATCGAAACATTGAAAAGTCGAGAAGTTGAGAAATGGAATAACCAAAAAATATATAGTCGATACAACGAGAAATCAAAAAGTCGAAAAATTAAAAAATCAATTAATCGAAAAATTGAGAAATCGAAAATTTAGAAACTTCAAAATTTGAAAAAAGAAGAAATCGAAAAATTCAAAAATAGTAAAACTGAGACATTGGAAAACTGAGAAATCGAAAAGCGAAATTTTATGAATCGAGAAGTTGAACAAACGAAAAATTGAAAAATCTCAAAGCTGAAATTTACAAAAATTGGGTAATCAAAAAATTGAAAATCGACAAATTGAAAAATCCGAAAACTGAAATATCAAAAAACAATTCGAATCGAAAATTCAAAAAATTTGACAATAATCGATGCGATAATTTCGCAGAATATCTGTCTAAAAAAATCCGGACAGACGGCAGACAGACAGACAGACGAAAACGTATAGAATGAAAGCAGCCAGTCGTCCGATGGAGTCGATTACCTTACGCTCCAGAAGTAATAATTAAGGCGTTGACAGAAGAAAGAAATTTCGAAAACCATCACTGAGCGATAAGATTCCAGTGGACCCGAATCAGGTCGGGCTGGTGGCGTCTCAACGAAAACTTTATTTGCCCAACTATAAAACACAGGCTCGTCTGAAATACCAAATCATTTGATCCTTTAATTAGCGCGTCCGTATTTTCGCACCACAATTCAACTTTTCCCAGTTAAAACAAATCAAAAGAGATAAAACCCCGCCTTCGAGTGTCGTATCAGTAAACATTTGGTAAGTCCAATAACTTCACTTCAGTCCAGCCAGCAAAGCCGTCCTGACTGCCTCGAGATGTAATTGACTACTTATCACTTTATCGAATCCAGCTGTATATTGATTCGTGTTGTGATTGGTATTATCAGTAAGTGAACCCGACTTTTAACGCGAGATGGCTTTAGAAAAATCCAAGAGCATCGAAGCTGGCTTGCACACCATGCTGGCCGAAGGGGAGACAAAAGTGGAGAATGTTTCCTTGTGTCAGAAGATTAAAGTCATTCTTACGAACATCACAGTGGAGCCGATTCTGATCTGCTATGTTCTACCTAATGTGATGGCGAGTATAGCCACTCAGAACCTAAACCTAGAGAAAGCCTGTAGGGTCAACCTAGAGCTGAGTACCGACGTGTGTGATGCCTTGACGATACGAAACGCCAGCGGGTACAACCAGAGCGACGAAGTCGTCGTTCAGAAGTTAGTCAGTACCATGAACATCTGGAAGAGCGTGATCCAGAGCCTAGTACCATCATTCTTGTTACTATTCTTAGGTTCGTGGAGCGACCGCCACCAACGACGCAAACCTTGCATCATCCTCCCCATAATCGGAGAGGTACTAACATGCACCAGCTTCCTCCTGTCCACTTACTTCTTCTACCAACTCCCCATGGAATTCAACGCGTTCTTCGAAGCGGTACCACCATCCATCACCGGAGGATGGTTCGCTATCTTCATGGCCGTCTTCAGCTACATCAGCAGCGTTTCCAGCGTGGAAACGCGAACCCTGCGCATCGGAGCCGTCAACCTCTTCTCCAAAGTCAGCGTCACCATCGGCATAGCCTTGAGCGGCATCCTCTACAAGAAATTCGGCTTCTACGGAGTCTTCTCCCTAGCCCTCGTCATGTACTTCACAGGCCTCAGTTACGGCGTTACCCGAGTCAAAGAAATCCCCAAGAAGGAAGAACTCATCACCGAGAAGAAGATCGTGAACCCTGTGAAAGACTTCTTCGACTTGAAGCACATCCGCGACACGTTCAAAGTCGCCTTCAAGGACGGCCCCCGCGGCCGCAAGAAACGTATCTGCACCATCATGGTCCTGGTCATGGTCATCATCGGACCCATGCATGGTGAAATGAACATGTTGTATCTTTTCGTCCGGTACAGGTTCGGCTGGAACGAGATCGACTACAGCCTCTACTCGACTTTCCACTTCGTCGTCCACGTCGCGGGTACCATCTTCTCGCTGATGTTTTTCACCAAGTTCCTCAAAGTCGACGACGCGGTCTTGGGGATGGTCTCCAACATGAGCAAGATTCTGGCTTCTATAGTGTACGCGTTCGCTCCGTCCAGTACCATCTTCTACATCGGTGAGTACCGGTTTTCCTGGAGTGGTACCACCAGGGTTTTCGTGTTGTAGGAGCGATTGTTGAGGCCTTGAACGGTACGTCTTTCATTGCCATGAGGTCCATCATATCGAAAATGGTACCGGCGGACGAGCTGGGGAAGATTAACTCTTTGTTTGGGGTTGCGGAGGCTCTGATGCCGCTGATTTACGGACCGATGTACAATATTATGTACAAAGCCACGATTCGGTTTCTTCCAGGGGCGTTCTTTTTGCTGGGGGGGTGTCTGACGACGCCTGCTGTCTTTATTTTCTTGTAAGTTTGGAGTGGGGGTGGAGTTCTTGATGGTGGTTTCTTGTTTTTAGTTGGTTGTATCGACAGCATTTGAAGGATCGGGAGGAAGACGAGAAGGAGAAAATGCAAAAAAGTGAACTGTTGCCCAAATGAACTGTATTTTTTTTTTTTTTCTATGAAAGCGAAATAAGTGGGTTAAATTCTTGTTTTCTTTTTCATTTCTTGGGGTTTTATTATCTAATCGTATTGGGACTAGACGGAAAATACAGTTAATTTATTTAGTGATAAGGAGTACTTAACATTGATTCTGTGAATGAAGCATTTATGACACGAGATTTTTTCTATTTACTTTTGTTATTTAAAATAATTTAGGAGACGGCAGTTTGTTCGACTGTTTTATCTCCTTACTAAGATTAGTCTATTGTCAGAAATTTAAACAAGAGCAACGTCATTAAATTTGTTGTTAAAAAAGACAAAGTCCAAATTTGTCTGGACCCCCACCTCCAATTGATGACGTCAAGTCAAAATTTTCAAAGTAAATCCAACTTAAATTTCCGTGCTTCTGTCATACAGTTTCTTCGTCCGCCCTTATTTCTTATCTTAGATGTCTAAATTTTTCGAAAAAAATCAAAATTGAAAAACAACATTTTAAAATGCAAAAAATTTGCACTATATCTCTACATTTTTGATCCGTCAGTGTGTGCATATTTTTATTCACATTAAAAATTTACAAACATCAACCAATCAAAATAAATCAGGTATATAGTTGCAACGAAGTCATGATACATACGACACGAGTGTATTTTAGACATGTTTTAAGTTTCTTGTTGTAGAAATAAGTCTACACATATTAAAAAAAAAAGGCAAAATGTAGCCCCGCCCACCCACCCTATCTCAGTTGTGATGATTTTTTTTTATTCGTCATTAGCTAAGAAGGCGGAGCTTAACTGCATAATTCTTATTTCTCTACGAGAAATTAAAAACATATTTTTGAGTATCGTGTTGTTCAAAGAATACTATGTATATTAAGAAAAAATAAACCCAAAGATTAGGCCCCACCCATAGACGTCCCGATCTCAATTCTCAATTGTGATGAATTTTTCATTCGTTGTCAGATCGAGGGGCGGGGCTTAATAGAGTAATCTTTATTTACGGAGGGTCACATTATTATTATATACAGGATGAGCAATAAAACATTTTACAGTGGTACAAATAATAATAATAATCAAAGTAACAATGATGAAAAATTGAATCGAAAAACTGAAAAATCGAGAAATTAAGAAATTCCAAAAATGGAATGACGAAAAATTGAAAATTGGAAAACTCGATACATCGAAGAATTGAACAACTGAAACATCGAAAGATCCAAAACCTGAGAATGAACAATCAAAAGAGCGACACCTCAATAAATCGCGAAACCAAAATATTGGAAAATCAAAAGACTGAAAAATCGAAAAATTTTGGAAACAGAAACTGGAAAACCGCAAAATTAAAAATTTTAAAAGTCGGAAAATTGATGAATCGAGAAATTGAAAAATGCCAAAACGAAATAAAAAAATCTAAAATTTAAAAATAAAAAAAAAAAACGAAAAGTTGAATAATCAAAAAATCGAAACATCGAAATCTCTGTAAATCGAGAAATCAAAAAATTGAAAAACTGAAAAATTCCATAACTGAAAAATCTTTGAAATCAGAAAATTGAAAAATCGGAAAAAAATCCAGAAATCGAAAAGTCGAAAAATCGAAAAATTGAAGAATCAAAATACTGAAAAATCCTGGCACGGAAAAACCAAAAATCTAAAAAAATCCAAGAAAAACTTAAAAAGCCAAAACTAAAACATCGAAAAATTGTGAAATCGAGAAATCGAAGTCGAAAAACCGAAAATTTAAAAAACCGAAAAACTGAAAAATTAAAAACCTTGAAAAATTGGATTGAAAATCTGAAGAATCGAAAAGTTGAGAAATCAAAATATTGAAAAATCTGGAATTTGGGAAATGGGAATATCAAAAAATCCAAAAGTTGAAACGTCGAGAAATCAAAAAATCGTAAACTCGAAAAATTGAAAAATCAAAAAGGTAGAAAGTTAAAAATTTTTAAATTGAAAAATTGAAAAATTAAGAAGCCGAAAAGTCGAAATCGAAAAATCGAGATACCGAAAAATAGAGATATCGGAAAATCCAAAAATCAAAAAATTTGAAAACTGAAGAATCGAAAAACTGAAAGATCCAGAAATTGAAAAATTCCAAAACTGAAATGATGAAAATTGGGAAATCGAAAAATCGCAAAAATTTGAAAAACTGAAAAATCTAAAACCCAGAAGTCGAAAAATCGAAAGATCGAGAAATCCAAGCATCAAAAGATTGAAAAGTTGAGGAAACGAAATATTGAAAAATCCCGAAACTGAAATGTCGGAAATTTGAAAAATCGAAGAACGGAAAAATTCAAAAACTGAAAAATATTTAAAATCGGAAAATTGAAAAGTCGGAAAAAAATCCAGAATTCGAAAAGTCGAAAAATCGAAAAATTGAAGAATCAAAATACTGAAAAATCCCACCACGGAAAATAAAGAAAAATCTAAAAAACTCGAAGAAAAACTGTATAATCGAAAAATTAAAAAACCCAAAATTGAAACATCGAAAAATTGTGAAATCGAGAAATCGAAGTTGAAAAATCGAAAATTTAAAAAAAAAATCGGAAAATTGAAAAATCAAAAACGTAAAAAATCGAAAAATTGGATTGAAAATCTTGAAAATCGAGAAGTTGAGAAATGAAAATATTGAAAAATTTAGAATTTGTGAAATGAGAAAATCAGAAAATCGAAAAGTTGGAACGTCGAGAAATCAAAAAATCGTAAACTCGAAAAATTGAAAACTCAAGAAAGTGAAAAGTTAAAAATTGGAAAAATTGAAAAACTAAGAAGCCGAAAAGTCGAGAAACCAAAAAATAGAGATATCGCAAAAACCAAGATTTAAAAAATCAGAAAACTGAAGAATCGAAAAACCAAAAGATCCAGAAATTGAAAAATGCCAAAACTCAAATATCGGAAAATTGCAACATCGAATAACTGAAAAATCTTTAAAATCGGAAAATTGAAAAATCGGGAAAAAATCCAGAAATCGAAGTCGAAAAATCGAAAAATTGAAGAATCAAAATGCTGAAAAATCCCAGTACGGAAAAAAATGAAAAATCTAAAAAAATCGAAGAAAAACTGTATAATCGAAAAAGTCGAAAAATCAAAAATTTTAAAAATAGAAATGAAAAATCAAAAACCTAAAAAATCGAAAAATTGGATTGAAAATTTGAAAAATCGAGAAGTTGAGAAATCAAAATATTAAAAATGGGAAGATCAAAAAATCGAAAAGTTGAAACGTCGAGACATCAAAAAATCGGAAGGTCGAAAAATTAAAAAATCGATTAATTGAGTAATTTAAAAGTCGCAAAATCGGAATTTAGAAATATTAAAAATAGAAAAATGGAAAAATCGGAAAAATCGAAAAGTCAGGAAGTTGGGAAATGGGAATTTTGGGAAACATCGAGAAATCGAGAAATCGAAAATTTAGAAACTTCAAAAATTGAAAAATGAAGAAACCTAAAAATTGAAAAATTCTAAAACTGAAACATTGGAAAACTGAGAAATCGAAAAGTCAAAAAAAGAAGTTGAACAATTGAAAAATTGAAAAATCTCAAAGCTGAAATTTCCAAAAACTAGATAATCAAAAAAATGAAAATCGAGAAATTGAAAAATCAAAAAATGAAGAATAAAAAACTGAAAAATCCGAAAACTGAAATATCTAACAATTTATCAAAAGTTGAAAAACCGAGAAATCGGAAATTCGAAAAATTGAGAAATCTGTGTATGTATTTATTTTTTTCAAAATTTTCGATATCTAAGACAAAAACCATGATTTGTAAAATGTTGTTATACAATTTTGATTGTTTTCCAAAAATTTGGGTGGCTGAGGTAAAATCTCAACACAGATTGATAAACCACAAATAGAGGAATACGTTACTTGATAATAGACAAATTTTTGTTGGCTTTTAACCATCTACATGATATTCCTAACATACACAGAAAATTTGACAATAATCGATCCGATAATTTCGGAGAATATCTGTCTAAAAAAATCCGGACAGACGGCAGACAGACAGACGGAAACGAAAGACCATTTTTTTCGTACTCTAGGGTCATGAAATGTCGAAAAAACATGAACGTAGCTAGTCGTCCGATGGACTGAAATTTCCAAAAATTGGGTAATCGAAAAACCGAAAAATCAAAAATTCGAAAAATTGAAAAATCGCAAAACCAAAAAATTATTATACCTACCAATTTGATTTTTTTTCCAAAAATCTGGATGTCTAAGGTTAAATATCAACACAGATTCATAAACCACAAATGGAGGAATACGCTATTTTATAATAGACAAATTTTGATTTTTTTAACCATCTACACGGTATTCCTGACATACATACAAAATTTGACAACATTCGATCCGATAATTTTGGAGATTACTGTCTAATAAAAATTCTCACAGACGGTAGACAAATAGACAAGCGGAAACGGGAGACATATTTTTTCGTACTCTAGGGATCATGAAATGTCGAAAAAACATGAAAGTAGCCAGTCGTCCGATGGAGTCGATCAGCTTACGCTCGCGAAGTAATAATTAAGACCTTTGACAGAAGAAATTTCGAAAACCATCGCCGTGCGATAAGATTCAAGTGGACCCGAATCAGGTCGGGCTGGTGGCGTTTCAACGAAACCTGTATTTGCCCAGCCATAAAACGCAGGCTCGTCTTAAACACCAAATCACTTGATCCTTTAATTAGCGCGTCCGTATTTTCGCAACACAATTCAACTTTTTCCATTTAAAACAAAGCAAAAGAGATAAAACTCCTCGAGTGTCATATCAGTAAACATTTGATACTAAAACTAATTAAATAAGTCCGATAACTCTTCAGTTCAGTCAAGCCAGCAAAGCCGTCCTGACTCCCTCGAGATGTAAATGACTACTTATCACTGTATCGAATCTAACTGCATATTGACTCGTGTTGTGATTGGTCTTATCGGTAAGTGAACCCGACTTTTAACACGAGATGGCTTTAGAAAAATCCAAGAGCATCGAAGCTGGCTTGCACACCATGCTCGCCGAAGAGGAGACAAAAGTGGAGAATGTTTCCTTGTGTCAGAAGATTAAAGTCATTCTTACGAACATCACAGTGGAGCCGATTCTGATCTGCTATGTTCTACCTAGTGTGATGGCGAGTATCGCTACTCAGAACCTAAACCTAGAGAAAGCCTGTAGGGTCAACCTAGAGCTGAGTACCGACGTGTGTGATGCTTTGACGATACGAAACTCCAGCGGGTACAACCAGAGCGACGAAGTCGTCGTTCAGAAGTTAGTCAGTACCATGAACATCTGGAAGAGCGTGATCCAGAGCTTGGTACCATCATTCTTGTTACTATTCTTGGGTTCGTGG